AAAAAAAAAACAGGACCTGAGAACGCAGCCGGCACCAGCCATGACAGTAAGCCGTCCTGAAAGCGGCTCCTTCGGTCTCTGAAAAGTTGCCCCTCCAAAAAACTGCCCAGAAGATCTCCTTGCTGAAGTCTAGCCAAATTACATGTTTTCTACATTTATGGACAAATTCCCATACGTACAACCTTTTGGGTGTGAAGGAGTTGCGGTGCTGGGGCTGAATTCCAGGTCTTGAGCATGGGAGACACACACTGAACCCCTGAGCTACACGCTCAGCCATGCACTTACAGTTTTTCCCATCAAGCCCAGGAAAGAAGGGGGAGAAGGGGAGGGAGAGGGAGGGGGAGAGAGGGGGAGAGGAAGGGGGAGGGAAAGGTTAAGAGAGAGGAGGAGGGAGGGGGAGGAGGAAGGAGAGGAAAGAGAGGGAGGCAGAAGGAGGACAATAAAGAAGAGGACAAAGGAGGAGCAGGAGAAAGAGGAGAAGGAAAAGGAGGAAGAGAAAAGGGAGAGGGAGAAGGAGAAAATGCTCAAAGCAAACACTCCCCAGCAGCCAGTCAGCGCCAAGCTTGCGCTTGACAGAATTACTGCTTTATCTGATGACAGAACGAGGACATCGGCATGAGCTATGAGCCTGGCGTCTGTTTGGCTCACGCATCAGGAATTCCTCGGGCTGTGAACATTTCTCGTTCTTTCCCACACCGAGGAGGAGGCTCTCAGCAGAGGAGCAAGTGAGGGGCTGGGGGTTAGCCAGTTCCAAGGTCAGAGCTGAGCTCTGCTGCTCACCAGCAGTGTGGCCTCATGCAAGTGACTTGCCCTCCCTGAGCCCTGAATCCCTCCTCGATAATGAGGGCGCCACAGTAGGCCGCTGGGGATTGGGAGGCGCAGTCACCATGCCTCTGAGTTTGGAGTAAAGTGTGGCTATCTTACTGGGGGTCGGGAGTGGCGTTCTCCCTTCCTCCGCTTCAGTACACACAAGCACACACATGTGCACACACATACCTGTACACACATACATACACGGATATGCCCGCACCCAGACACGTGCACACACAGTCATCCAAGTGCATACACGGCCACACACACACACACACCCGCTGGGTATGGGAGGACGCGTGCATGTTGACCTCTCGGCAACAGCCTATTGTCTCAGAAGCGCCCAGCAGAGGGAGCCACTGTCACACTTAAGACTGGCGTGACCCCCGCCCCCCCAGCATCCAAAGACAAGAGTCCAGCCTGTGTGTTTTAAGATTTACACCATGCAGTATGAATGCCCAGATACGAAAAAAGGCTCAACATCGCTAGGCATTAGAGAAATGCAAATTAAAACAACACCGACATTCCATCTTACTCCAGAAAGAACGCCCATCATCAAGAAATCTAATAACAAGCCGGGTGTGGTGACGCACGCCTGAAATCCCAGCATTTGGGAGGCTGAGGCAGGAGAATTGCCAAGAGTTCGAGGCCGGCCTAGGCTACATAGTGAGTTCAAGGCCAGTCTGGACTATAAAGTGAGACTTTTTCTCAAAAAAAAAAAAAAAATCTAACAACAAATGCTGGTGAGGCTGCAGGGGTGGGGGACCCGTCTAAATTGTTGGTGGGAATGTAAGCTAGTACAACCAGTATGAAAATCAGTGCTGAGATTCCTCAAAATGTAAAACTAAAAATTTCATGCAACCCATCCTAAGTGTCTTCCCAGAAGAGTTAAAGACACCACATGACTGTGATCCTTGCACACCCGTGTTTACAACAGCATAAATCACAACAGCTAAATCTTGGAAGCAGTCTATATGTCCACCAACAGCTGAACTGATAAAGCAAATGCGCTATTTACACACAACAGAGTACTACTCTGCCATAAAGAAGGATAAACTTGAGTCATTTGTAGGGAAATGGATGCACCTTGAAATCATAGTGTGAAGAGAAATAAATCAGACGCACATGCTTAACTATCACATAGTTTCTCTTACATGAGAAACCCGAAGTATAAATACAGAATAAAATAAAAGATAGATAACAGGAAACACAGAAATAGATTCTTCACAAATGGCAAGAGGATCTAGTGATGGAGACGGGGAGGAAGGAGAGAAAGGAGATGAAAAAGAATTCAGATGTGTTGTGTACACGTACTAGCTCCTCACGATGAGTGTGATTGATCACTGTGTACTGCCGTGTACTAATAAATAAAATGGAAAACCATCACATGCGCAAGTGAGCAGGGTCCCGGGGACTTGGGTTCGCACCTCCCTCTCCTTTTTTTACAGCCCTTGCTGGAAGCTGTGGGCTTTGCAACCAAAGGGATCCCGTGAGATCCACAGGATAAGGGATCAGGCAGTCACCTGCTCACAGCTATCGCCAGGAAGGGGCAGAGAGGGAGGCTGAACTCACAAGACCAGGTTGGATGGCTGGTCGGCTGATTCATTGGTTGGCTGGTTTTTGCCCAAAGATGACAGGGTTGCACCGAGGGAGCAGATGTTTTGTAAAGGATAGCACTTGGGGGTCACCAGAGCCTCATGAGAGGGCAACACCAGCCAGAGGCAGGAGGGGGAGCTCCAGTCTGCACTAGTCCGCTCTGCGCAGAGCCCCTCAGAGAGGGGATGCCCACTGAGGGTCCCAGGCCCTTCACCACCTGCTGCTAGGCAAAAAGAGACGTGGGGACTCAGACCTGACCGGAAGTCTGAGGCGTGGGGCCAAAAGGGCTCAGGATCCCCGCTGAGACCCTGGCCGAAGGTGCTGTTTGGAGGACTTGAGCTGCTTCCCTCTGGGGTCTCAGGGGCAGGAATTGGGCCTGTCTGCTAGTAGACATTTAATGAATATATTGACAAAATAAACGAATGCACAAATTTTCCCCAAACATTTGAGTTTATGTCCTAATACAAACGGCTTCCCAGCCTCCTAGCGCACAGCCTCCCAACTGCCCAGAGCACCCCCTTCCCACCCTGGCTCCGGACCTAAGGTTCTGGGCCAGCGGGTGGGAGACAGGAGGCATCAGCAACCCTGTGCTTTTATTCTTCAAAAATCAGAACACTTAGCAAAGGGTCTGTGAGCAGGGAAGGTAGGAAGAGGCTTTCAGGGTTTACAAAACAACTACAAAAGCAAACAGCCGGAGGCCTGGGATGATGCCTGAACAGTCTGTCCGTGTGAGGCGGAGACCTGTGAAAGGCGATGTCCGGGTGCACGGCTTTGACCTCAGGCTCCAGCTTCCAAGTCTTCAATTTAGAAGCCAGGCTGGGTCCAGCCAGCAGGGAGGGGCGGATCTTGAGTCCGAGAGGCGGTTCTTGGGCCATGAAAGGCTCAGTGAGCAAGCCTAGAAAGTCCGGCCCTCAGGGGTGTGCCGGGAGAATTCAATCCACCAGCTCCAAGGGGGCGGGGCCAAACTCAGTCCCTCCAGTGGGAGGGCAGGTGCGGAACTCAGGGGGCGGAGCTTTACCTCGAGGGGCGTGGCCAGCACCAGCAGGCTGCTCAGCTAGGGACCCCGTTCCTCCAGCAAGCCTGGACTTCTAGGGCCACGGTCTAGGCCCTCAGTACTTTGGAGGCGGGGCCTGGGCTCTCAGGGGCGGGGCCTGGGCCTCTCTGGGCGGGGCCTGGGCCCCCAAGGGTGGCAGCGGCTCCACGTTGAGCCAGATGCCATTCTCCGTGCGTAGGATGAGCTCCGGCTTCCGCCGCACCTTGCGCGTTCGGTCCACGCTCAGGCGGAAGCGCAGCAGCGTGAGTGCCACGGCCACGCGCATCTCCGCCATGGCGAAGCTCTGTCCGATGCAGTTCCTGCAGAAAGGGGTACAGGAGCTCAGGCCCAGCCTCTAAGGTGCCCGTAAAGGTTGGAAAGCTGAGGCAGGAGGTTCTGTTCCTCCGTACCCCTGGCTCTGTTCCTTCCACGAGTGCCTTGGGCTGGGGAAAACAGAGGCCTTACCTGGGTCCTGCAGAAAAAGGCACGTAGGCCAGTGGGGAGCGCTGCTGCGGGTTGAGTGGGTCAAAGCGGTAAGGGTTGTACACCTAGACCGGAACAGCCAGGAATGAGTGGGGTGGGGGGTGGCCCAACCACTCCGGCATGGCTCCCAACCCCCACCTCTGGGCATGAGTCTAGCTGGGAGATGGGCCACCTCCTCCACTCCGCCCCACCCTCATCACAGCACAGCCACGCCTCCCTCCTCCTGCCGGGAGACATGCTAGGTTCCTTCCTACCTCAGGGCCTTTGCACTTGCAGTTTCCTCTGCCTGGAACACACTTCTCCCTGCCATTCAAGTCTCAGCTCAAAAATCTCTTCCTCAGCAAGGCCTCTCTGACCACTTGAACTAAAGCACTCCCTGCTTGCTCCACCATTTTTATTTCTCTGGAGCACTGATCAATACCTGGAATGATCTTAGGTATATATGTGTTTGTCTTCCCCAGAAACCTCACTCAAATGCCATGTAGGCAAAGACAGTGTCACTCCCAGTCCTCAGTGCCCAGCACAGGGCCTGGCACACAATAAGTGCTCGGTCACTATTTACTGTCCTAATGAGGTAACAATGCGTGGATAAGTGGATGGGGAAAAGGGCAAGTGGGCCCTGAAACCAGCTCCCATCCCTGGCCCCCAGGGCCGTCTTTCCTGGGGAGGAAGAAGCCAAGGGCAGTGATGTTTGGGGCATATTATGGTTTAGATAGAGAATGACTCCAAAAACCCTCATATGCTCAGAGGTGGGACACTTGGACAATGACTGGCTCAGGGAGCTGCTATAGCAGATGATGGATTGCTCAGGGTGTGGTCTGTGGGCGTGGTCTGGAGGAGGCGTGGCCTATCTCCCTGGCTCCTCCCTTTTCTCTGCTTCCTGTTCGCCATGATGTGAGCAGCCTTCCTCCGCCAGTCCCTTCTACCATGCCACTTCTGCCTTGCAGCCACACAACTACGGACTGAAACCTCTAAAAACCATGAGCCCAAATATGCCTCTCCTCCTTTAAGTTGCCAGATTCAGTTATTGGGTCCTGGAGATGAGAAAGTAACCGGGACAGCTGGAGCTCACCTTGGAGTCTGGCCACACTGTGGGGTTGTAGTGGGTCCCGTAGATGTTGACCATGCAGATGATTCCTATGGGGACAAGGAGGTCAGCAGGGCTGAGGGCAGCCAGGGTCTGCTCTGGGAACAACTCCCCACCCAGTTCTTCCTGGAGCTGGGGCATTCCCGTGAGCCATCTGCCCCTGCTTCCTGTCCATCATTTTCTGAAAAATTCTGCTGCCCTATGTACTTCCACTCCTTCTCCTAAAAGGCCCCAGCACTCCTCTGGCTGCCACTGGGGCCAAACAGGGCTCCTTCTCGCTCACAAATATGGCATTGCTCATTCTCAGCTCAGTTGCCTCCCTTGGCTCCCCACTGCCTGCAGGCTGGAGTTCAGTGCCTGCACCTGGCATTCAAGGCCTTTCACAGTGCACACTCTGAGGCTCTGCTCCACAGACACACTTGATCTTTCACCTCCAGCTTCTAAGTCTGGCTTTCCATGTCCCTCCTCCAAGAAGCCCTCCTGGCATTCTTCCCAGAGGGAGGGAGTCTTCCATCTACTTTTGGACTTCTCCAGCCCCTATCTCTACATTCCTTTCTTCCCCTCATCTTATGAAACAGGGTCTCTCTACATAGCCCAGGCTGACCTCAAACTTCCAGTGATCCTCCTGCCTCCTCCTCCCCGGTGCTAGGATCACAGCACCCGGTGCCACCACCCCAGTGACCTGTCTCCCCCTTTAGCCCATTTCTCACCTCACATGGCTGGGAATGTCTGTGCTGTGCTCCCCCACTATACACACAGACTGGGTGGCCTTTAAGGCCTGGGCCTGGAGATGAGGCCTTGCTAATGACCCCAGCATTACTCAAAACAGGCCTTATAGACTAATGATGTGGCTCAATGGTAGAGCACTTGCCTAGCATGTAGAAGGTGCTGGGTTCAATCCCCAGCACTCAGCACTACCAAAAATAAATAAATAAATAACTACAAACAATGAAAGCTGGGCATAGCATGCACACGTATAATCTTAGCTCCTTGGGAGGCTGAAGCAGGAGGACCACAACTTCAAGGCTAGCGTGGGCTACTTAGTAAGGTCCTGTCTCACAGTAAAAATTTTTAAAGGGTGCGGATGGTAGCTCAGTGGCACAGCCCTTCCATAGAATGTGTGAGGTCCTGGGTTCAAGTCCCAGTACCACCAACAAAACAAAAACAGGGCTTGTCCTCCAGAGGATAGTTGGCAACTCAGTGAAACTGGCCTGGACCCATCTGCACCTGCTCAGGTAAATCCTGCACACTAACTCCCTCCTTTCACCTGGACTCACCCACCTCCGTCTCCCTACACAAAACCAGGGTCCCCATCACCCCAAATCTAAGAGGCACACAGGGAGCCACCTGTGTACAGAGATACTGTAACTGAAGCAGGCACGGCCAGGCCCCTTGGACAGCGGAGCAGCCACATCATCGGGATGCCACCCGGTCGCCAGGGACACACACTGCGCACCTTTAGGGATGACGCGCCCATCCGGGAGCTTGATGTCCTCAGTGCAGCGGCGAGTGACCAGGGTGACCGGCGGGAACTGGCGCAGGCTCTCTTTGATGCACATGGTGGTGAAGGGCAACTGCGTCAGGTCGTCCCTGGGGAGAATGGCACCGTGACTGCCCAAATGTGCATGCGCACACACAGCCACACACACAGATGGGCACCACTAAGCCAGAATTATTTTTCTTTATCTTAAAGACATTGGGGTCCCCCAGTGGCTAGGGGCTGGCACTAAACGGCTAGGCTCCAGCAATGTTCCTGTCTCACACTTCTGCATATCTGGGACTACTGGTCCAAGATATTAAACAAAACTAATTTAGCATTTGGAAACCTTTGAGCTTAGCATGGCAGTGCATGCCTGTGATCCCCACACTAAGGAGGCTGAGGTAAGTTCCCCAAGGCCAGTCTGGGCTAATGGTGAGTTCAAGGTCAGCCTGAACTACACAGTGAGACCCTTCTCAAAAACAAAAAAACTGTAAGCCAAGCACAGTGGTACACACTGTAATCTCAGCTATCTGGGAGGCTGAGGCAGGAGGATCACAAGTTCAAGACTATCTTGGGCAACTTTGCAAGACTCTGTCATAAAATTAAAAATATATATATATAAAATTCAAAGCCAAATTCCCCATACACCAAAAGCTACTGCAGGACTAAAAACAGGTAGTATGGGTTTAACTGTGTCCATAAGAGGAAAAAAGGTATGTCTTTTTTAAAAAAAAAATATGTTGAGCCAGGCATGGTGGTGCACTCCTGTAATCCCAGCACTCGGGAGGCTGAGGCAGGAGGATCATTGCTAGTTCGAGACCAGCCTAAGCTACGTAAGGGAGCTCAAGGCCAGCCTGAACTGCATAGTGAGACCTTGTCTCAAAAAGACCACAAAAAAAAAAAAAAAAAAAGTTGAAGTCCTAATCCCCACCCTATGTACCTAAAAATGTGATCTGAATTGGAATTGGATTGGGAAAAGATAGTTATGCTTCTAGAATCTGCTTGGAGAAGAATATCCCAGGGTAGCTGCTGGTTCAAAGAGACTGAGGAGACACTGGGAAAAAATCTGAATACAGCCCAGTCTGGAAACAACCATACTGTATTCAACCAAGCCCAGCAACCACAAGAGCAAGAAGTAAATACGTGCAAAACATTGGGTATAGGGGATGTTTGTTGTGCAGCAATGACAATTGCTGACTAAGACACTGTGAAGACTGCTGTATTCTGAGGTAGGCATAGGCAGCATGGCCATTCCCTTGTTACAGCTGGAGGAGGAGTTGTCCACGGTCACACAGTAAGTGGGAGATTCACACCCAAAGCTGTAGCCTCGACCTGCTCCTTCCACTCCCAGAGCCCTCAGACTGACCACTCCAGTTCCTCCAGCTCCCGGCCTTTCATGATTTCCTGGATCTCTTCCCGGCACTTCTCCTGGTACTCCGGATACTTCGCCAAGTTGAACAGTGCCCAGGACAGCCCACTGGATGTTGTGTCATGACCTGCAGGCATACCAAGTGTTCAAACGGAGGTCACCATCTCCAGCCAGATGAGTGTCTGCTGTGTACCCAAGGGGACTGTGGTGCCCATCCCTGTCCTCCCTCAGCCCAACCCCCTCTCCTCACCCTCAAACATGAAGGTATCGGCCTCAGCTCGGATGTCCTCATCGGACAGTTCCTTTCCATCTTCATCCTGCAGGGGGCAGTAGAGGATACTCAGTGCCTTCATCCCACCCTCTGCAGCATAGAGGCTCCCCAAGTCAGATGTGCACCATGTCTGGTTCTAATGGAGGGAAGTATGCAACTTGTACAAGGACAGGCTCAGCTTGATGGTGCACACCTGTAATCCCCGCAACTCAGGAGGCTGAGGCAGGAGGACGTCAGCCTGGGCAACGTTGTGAGACCTCATGCCACAATAAAATTTTAAAAAGGGCTGAGGATGTAGCTCAGCAGTGGAACATGTACCTAGCATGTGTGAGGCCCTGGATTCAATCCTCAGCACAACAAAAATAAAAAAAAGAAGGAAGAAAGAGGGAAGGAGAATTAAACATGGGAGAAGAAGGGAGTTCACACCATCCCATATACTTTAATGATGAGGGTGCTCTCTGCAAAGAGTGACATTGAGTGATTTCATTTGTATTGCACAAACTCAGGGCCATGACATTACTAGGTGATATATTTTTTTACAGTGCTGGGATACAGCCCAGGGCCTCAAGTGTGCTAGGCAAGCACTGTCCTACTGAGCACACCCCAGCCCAGGCAAGGCAATTTTATGGAGCCATCGTCACTAATATGCCCCACCGTTGGCTGAAACATCCACAGCACAGGGCCGCATTCACTGAGCAGCTCCTAACACCAAACACCCTACAAAACACCCTACCGCAGGCCTCACAACAACTGTGTCGTTGGGTCTTACGGTTACCATGCTATAAATGAGCACACTGAGGCTTGGAGACAAAGAGTGATGTGATCAAGCTTAAATATCCACTAAGTGGCAGAGCCAGGGATGGAATCCAGAACTCTTTACATCCAGAACCCAAATGCTGCTCAGAAATACCACACAGGGAGCCAAGTACGGCGACGCACACCTGTCATCCCAGCACGCTGGGAGGCTGAGGCAGGAGGACATAAATTCTATCCTAGCCTGGGCAATTTAGCAACTTGCAAAGCTGAATCTCAAAATAAAAAATTTGAAAAGAACTGGGGATGTAGCTCAGTGTAAAGGCCTTAGGTACTAAAGAATACCACCAAGAAAAAAAAAATCAACAGAAGGGCTGGGGGTTCTATACAAATACTATGCCATTTTATTGACTTAAAATATTTTAGTCAGCTGTAGCGGCACCACTTAGGAGGCTGATACAGGAGAATCACTGTGAGTTTGAGGCCAGCCTGGGCTACATAGTGAAGACCACCATAAAATCTGCAGTGCTGGTGATGGAAGTCAAGGTCTCCTGCATGCTAGGTGAGTGTTCACCACTGAGCTACATCACCAGCCCTTTTTATTTTTTTAATTTTTACTTTGAGACAGGGTCTGATGTAGTTGCCCAGCCTGGCCTTGAACATGTAATCCTCCTGCCTCAGCCTCCTGAGTAGCTCCAATTACAGAACTGTGCCACAACACAGGCCAGACACAATCTTTTTTCAAATATTTTCAACCTGAGTTAGTTTCAGTCTGAAAAAAAAAAAAAAATCCATAGATATGGAGGGAGGACCAACCGTCTATATTCTTTTCAAAAGCAGAAGGAAAGCCCAGGCGTGGCTGTGCATGTCTGTCACCCCAGTACTCAGGAGGCAGAGGCAGGAGGATTATATGTTTGAGGCCAACCTTGAACAAATTTGGTTACTAGAGACACAAGCTAAGTCTCACATGCCTGCATCTAACTCTATGCGAGATCTCTCTGAGTTTTAGCATTTATCACTTCACGCAGCTGGTGCAACTCCTGGAGAGGTGTCCCGGGCAGGCTCCCCTCTCCGAGCACCGCCTCACCTTCGCCAGGAGCAGCACATCAATAAAGTCCAAGGTCTTGCCCTGCTTGGCCTTCAGCCACATCTCCTCCCCCTGCTGGCACAGCGCCCTCCGCCGCTCCTGGATGACCTCGGTGGTGAAACGGTGCACAATGTCACACGCCTGGCGGAATCTCCGCCCATCAGCTGAGAGGTAGTAGACGAAATTCAGGTAGTGATGCAGGCGATACTGGCGCCGAACGACCAGGGCACTCAGCTCAATGATGGCCGATATGTAATCGCTCATTTTCCTGCCAGGAGCAACAGCTGTGAGCACAAGGCAATTCCCTTCCACCAGCACCACAGTGTAGCTCCAACAAATCTTTCCTTCTGCTCTTCTAGCTTTCCGTCTTGCTATGCACTCGCTAACCCTAACCCCAACCCTAACCCTAACCCTAACCCCAACCCCAACCCCAATCCCAACCCCAACCCTAACCCTAACCCTGACCCTAACCCACAATGCCATCTACCATGTGACGCAGCTGAAGGGGCTGTTACCAAAACTGACCAGAGGTGGGGCCCTGCTGTTTGCAATTTCCTCACACAAAACTGTAAGTTAAATGAACCTGTCTTGGTAGGGTGTGATGATGCACACCAGTAATCCCAGAATTTGGGAGGCTGAGGCAGGAGGATCGCTGCAAATTTGAAGCCAGGCTGGGCCACATAATGACTTCAAGGCAAGCCTGAACTACATAGCAAGACCTTGTCTAAAAATTTAAAAAAAAATAAAAAAAAAAAAAAAAAAAGAAACAAGAAACTGAGGCTCAGAAAGTAGGATGAGGACACTTTCCAAACACTCTCTTCAGAGGAATGAGGGAAAGTTTTTTTTTTTTTTTTTTGGTTTTTCTCCGGTACCGGGAACCGAACTCACGACCTTGCGCTTGCCAGGCAGGCGCTTTTGCCGCTGAGCTAAATCCCCAGCCCCGAGGGAAAGTATTTTTTGCTGAGCACCTACTCCATGCCAAGCCACTGACTCACACTATCTCATTTAATTGTCACCCAGTGACTCTGGGAAGTGAATTAGTATGCCCATTTTTTTGGAATAAAGAAAGTGAGACTCGGGGCTGGGGATTTAGCTCAGCAGCACAGCGCCTGCCTGGCAAGCGCAAGGTCATGAGTTCGATTCCCAGTACCACAAAAAAAAAACAAAAAAAGGAAGTGAGGCTCAGAGAGGTGATGTCACTTCCTCAGGCCCTGTGTGGCCCATGGCTGGCAGAGCGCCCATAGCCCGGCGGTGCCCCACAGCTGGGAGCCGCCTTTCTCCTCCTTCCCACTCCCTCAGCACAGCAGCAGCTGGCTGTGTCCCCCACCCAGGAACGTCACACTCACTCCTGGCAGTCGCTGTTGTAACTGAACACGCATTTCTGCAGACTGTCCAGGGTCATGAGGCTGATGTGCTCAAACATATCAAAGGAGGCCACTGAGTTCTCCCCGAGGTGCCGCCGCCACTTCGCCTGGAAGAGAGGTCGGGCAGGAGGCAAATGGGTGCGGGTCCGCAGACATCAGCAGGCCTTTGCTGGAGCCCTGGCGGTCACACCCAGGACACCCTCCTCCCACAGCCTGGCCCCGGCACTCACATGCATGATGTTGGCACACTGGTTGAAGATCTTCATGTACGGCTTCAGAATGTCGAAGTGGAAGGCAGGCGTCAGCATACGCCGGTGCCGGCTCCACTTGTCCCCTTTGCTAATCAGAAGCCCGTCCCCTGAGCCCAGAGGAAGGAGGTTAGGGACCTCTCGTGTTCTTCTGAAACCCTCCAAGGAAGCCCCGGCCCCACCTGCCCCCCAGGCACTCACCCAGCCAAGGCTTCAGGAAGCTATAGAAAAATTCATCCTTGGGGGCGATGGCAGCTGAGGAGAGGAAGCAGGCAATGAAGATTCAAGGCAGTGCAAATTTACACTCTCACCAGCAGTGGAGAAGGGTTCCTTCCCCCCACAGCCCCACCAGCATTTGTTATGGGTTGATTTCTTGATGATAGCCACCTTTCTGGGGTGAGATGGAATCTCAGCACTGCTTTAATTTGCATTTCTTGAATGACGATTGATGTTGAGCATTTTTTCGTATGTTTGTTTGAGTTTGTACTTCATCTGAGAAGTGCCTATTCATTTCAAATGCCCATTTTTGGAATGGGCCTTTAAATTGGGGGGGGTCTGATTTTTTGAGGTTTTTTGTTTGTTTGTTTGTTTTGTCTTTTTGAGACAGGGTCTCTCTGTGCAGTTCTGGCTGGCCTTGAGCTCACTTTGTAGCCCAGGCTGGTCTCGAATTTGCAATGATCCTCCTGCCTCAGCCTCCTGAGTGCTGGGATTACAGGCATGCACCACCACGTCCGGCAATAAGACAATGTCCCTTGACTTTGACTTGTGCTTAGGACCTCTCTGGGTGCAGCCCCCCACCCCGCCTCTCCAGCCTCATCCTCCACATCTGCCCCAGAAAGATCCTATTACCCGCTGATCTTCACACGAGGTTCCTCTGCTCAGAAGCTCCCGTGGCTCCCCATTGTCCTTGAAGAGTGCAGCCTACCTAGCACTGAAGCGTTGCCCTCTGCACCTCACCTGCATCTCCCATTCCACCCTTGGACACACACACACCAGATGACTCCATTCTCACCGCAGGCCGTCTGCACCTCCAACCCTGTGGACAGGCCGGCTTCTCCATGTGGAATGGAGTCATCCCCTATCTTCCCCTTCTTGTTTAGAAAAGCCGACACGGGCCGTCTGGATTGTTCCTCCTGCCCTTCCTACCTCCAGCCTCGCTCTCTCTGTCTGTCCCCCTGGCCACTGGGGATCTTATCTGACTGTCACACTTCACCTTGTGCCTTCCAGCTCACCCACCTGTCATCCCTAAGGGCTAGCAGCTCGGCCCTTTTTCGAGGCCTTGATTGATCTGCCCTGGTCTGACCTCTCTCAAGACAGACACCTCTGTCCTCCAACCCATCCCACTCAACACCACAGCAGCAACAAGTCTTTTCTCAGTTCCCCCAAAAGACCATGCATGCCTCCGCTCTGCTCCAAGTCTTTGCATGAGCTGCCATCTCTGCTCTGAACATTCTGCCTCCTTCTGGGCTCAGCTTAGACTCTGCTTCCTCTTGTACCCATCACACTAGTTTGTACCCATCCAGGTACAAGCTCCCTGATGGAAGAGGCCTTGCTGATCACTGACAGTTGGTGCTAAAGAAATTGTCATTCAACTGGATCAATTTGGATCCATCCATTTGGATCAGTCAATCAATTAAAGGATGGATAAAGAGAAGAATGAACAAATGAATGAATGGAGAAGGAAAAATAGATGGGTAGATAGATGGGTAAATGGATGGGTGGATGGATGGACAGATGAAGAGATGGATATATGATGAATGGGAGGATGGATGGGTGGATACAAGAATGGGTGGGTGGGTAGATGGATAGATAGAAGGATAAATGGATGGGTGGGTGGGTGGAGAGAAGGAAGGATGAATAGATGAAGTAAATGATGGATGGATGGATGGTTAGATGGATGGATGGAGTAACTGAAGGATGAATGAAAAGATGGATGGGTAAGTGGATGGATAGATGAGTGGATGGGTGGGTGAGTGGAAAGAATGAATGGATGAAATGAACAATGGATGGATAGATGGATGGATGGATGGATGGATGGATGGATGGATGGATTGACAGAAGGATAGATGGATTGACAGAAGGATAGATGGATTAATTGAAAGACAGATGGAAGGACAGATTGATGGGTGAGTGGATAGATAGATGAGTGGATGGGTGGGTGACTGGAAAAAAGGATGGATGGATGGATGGATGGATGGATGGATGGATGGACAGAAGGATAGATGGATTAACTGAAGGATGGATGGAAGGACAGATGAATGGGTGAGTGGATGAGTGGATGGAGAGGGATCCTAGTTCTATACACTCGAGATTTGGGTCTAAACGGGGGCATATCTGAAAGCCAAATGACATCACGTATACCTGAGCGTGATTCAGCTGCCTCCACAGTCACGATCCCCAGGAGCTGGCCAGTGTCATGCCCAGTCATCTGCCCAGTCATCCATCCCTGCATCCTCCCATTCCAGACAGCCCTTCCTCCTGTGCCCAGCCCGTGCTGGATGACGCTCAGGACAGCTCCCTCCCACCCCGCCTGGAGGAGCCCCTGGGTGGTGGGGAGGGGACAGGAAGCAGCGGCACACCACACAATCATCAAGGAGGCAGGAAGTGTGCCAGCTGCTCAAGGACCCCCGAGAACGGACTAAGAGCAGGCTTCCCGGAGGAGGCAACTCCAAGAGGAAGGTAAGAAGGTAGTCATCCCTCTAGTCTCCAGGCCTCGGACTCCAAGCAAGCCTCTTCAGGAGTCTCTCTGAGACCTGTATCTGGTGAAGAGCTGCCCTGCCCCAACACCTCCCATGGGTCCCTATCGCCTCTAGGATAAAGTACAAAGTCATGTGCTTTTCAGTCTAGTGCCTGCTTTACTCTCAACCTCATTTCCTGCTTCCACACACATATCTCCTCCACTCCAGGCAACCCAGCTCACCCAAATTCCTCTAATACTTTCCCACTTCTGCACCTTTGGACTGACAAGCCCCTTCACCTGGCAAACTCCTACACATCCTTCAAAGTCCAGCTTCACTGATACATCCTCCAGGAATCCTACTCCAAATCCTCTCTCCAGTCAAAGCTTTGTTCCCCCATCCTCAGATCCCTCCTTCCTCCACTCTACCCCTTACTGTTAGTGCCAGGAAATTCACAAGTTTCCAGAGTATCCAGGCTCCCTCTTTCATCACTCTCTGCCTCCAGAGAAGGAGCCAGTGCTACAATCAGAGGAAGTGGTATCAGAAAAGCCCCCACATGGCACCCCACTTGGAACTTCTGTTACCCTCAGAGCTGCATAACACCATGACTGAGAGTTTGGTCAGGCTTCCACCCCTAGCCCCACCTCTGACAAGTGATGTAAACTCACACAAGTTACCACTCCTCCTTTCCTTTTCTTTATCCGCCAAAAAAGGGGCTGAACAATCCTGCCTTGTGACGGCCCTGTAAGACTCGCAAGCTCACATGTTCCTGGCACACGGTAGATGCTCATTAAATCCGTGTCTCCATAAATGGATAAAGGACCAACTGTTGGTTCTTTTGTTACTGTAATTATAATCATTGCTTACTGGCACCAAAAAGCTGTGAGAGGGATATTCAGGTCCCCTGTCAGTGATAAGTGAATGCAGAGCCACTGGGGAAAATGGTAAAAGGCTCCTTAGAAGGTCAAACACAAGCTGGGTGCAGGGCCACATGCCTGCCACCCTTGCACTCCGGGAGGCTGAGGCAGAAGGATATCAGGTTTGAATTCAGCCTGGGCAACTTAGTGACTTAGCAAAACACAGTCTCAAAAAAAAGTCAAATATAAGGCTGCAAATGTAAGCCAGTGGTAGAG